CTGGTATTAGTCATATTAACTCCCAGTTGTCTTTCAAAATTCAACTCTAGTCACCTTTTCTGGTGCCTCCCAACCCCATTCACCCCAGCCCGTTCAGCTTAGCGTCCCCCGCTCTGTGCTCCCACACCATCCATGCATGCCTATGCACAGCCCTGTTTGCCTTCCTCCAGGAAAGCTCCTCAAGGGCAGGAAAACGGCTTCCTGTGCCTGGCTCCTGGCATTCCACAGCAATTTAGATGCCTTGTAAAAAATGTGTATTCCCATTTAAACAACACTGTTCAGATATCATTTTGAAAAATCTCATATTAGAAAAAATTCCAGATTCATTAGTTTCTCTCTTTAGAATATCTGGCCACTTTGAACTAATGTTACTATTCAAATACCAGTTGGAGGTCCCTGTGCTATATTTTAAAATTTTGTTAGAGGGTGAGTGTTGTGGAGTAGCAGGTTAAGCTGCTGCTTAATAGGTATTATGAAAAATCTATGCATGATTTATAAAAATCCTTTTATTAAAATAAGCTAATGTTTTAATTCCATTTCCCCATATCATCTTGTCTAGGCCTTACACAAACCCTAGGACACGCAAACCACTATGGCTTTTAAATTCTGTTCACTTTTATGATTTGGGTATTCTCTTTAACTCTTTTATACTCACCTCCGTTCTTCCATGTTTATAATGGCAAAGGGACCTCATCCATCATGTTGCTGGAATTCTCTTCCTAGATAGATTTTGGACTTATTGACGTCTCTCCACCTCATCTACCAAACTCTGCACCGACAGTGTTGTCACACCGTCCTTCTGCAACAGTCTCCTTAACGGCATCACAGGTTTATTCTCGTTCATTCTTCCTCTGTTTGTTTCATACTCTATTCTAAAGCCAAAATTTTAAAGCTAGACATTTTTTAAAAATTCACATTACTCAGAAATTCTACTCCTACTAAGTATATCCCCAGGGAAAATGAAAAGGTATATATCGAGCAAGTACAAGCACATGACCATGTAAAAATCTGCTCACAGATGTTTATACTAACATTACTCATAATAACTTAAATGTGGACTGATAAACAAACATGGTAAGTTCAGTTAATGGAATGACATGTGGTCATTAAAAAGAATGTAGCTCTACTATATGTATCAACATGAATCTTCCAAACACGGAGAGAAGCCAGTCACAAAAGCCCACACATTGATTCTACTTATATGAAAGGACCAAAATACGCAAATTTTTAAAGACAGAAAGTACACCAGTGGTGGCGGAGGTCTAGAGAATGCAGGAGAAAAGGGCAATGGAGAAATGGGTTTAGGACTTCCCTTTGACATGATGTGAAGGCTCCAAACCAGATGGCGGTGACAGTAGCCCACATCTGTAAGGATGCTATACACCACTATTCATACACTTTAAATGTTAGTTGTATAGTTTGGTAATTACATCTATATAAAGCTGGTAAAGAAATTCTTCCCATGGCTCATCATGGCTTGCAGCACTGGCTGTGCAACCTTGCATTAAGTAGTGCCTACATACTCCTCAGGCCTCATCTTAAACTATTCCTCCTCGATATTTCCTTACAACGAATGCTTTGAGTTTTCCAAAGAAGCGAGCACCTGCCCACACTAGTAGCTTTTCAGCTGTTTTACTTCCTGCTTGCAATTATCATCCCTTCTCTTCATCTAGTTGTTATTTATCCTGCAGACCTACTTTTGAGCATCACAACCTCACATTCTTGGATCCCCAGAAGGGAAACCTTCTGTAAGAGAGATCTTCTGAAATACACTGGCACAACTATCCATACTGTCTTTTTAAGGTTTAGACCTTTTTAAATTTACTTTAAATATTTTTGAGAGACAGATTTACAGAGAGAGAAGGAGAAAGAGAGAGAGAGACAGAACGAGCACCTGCTGCTTCACTGCCCAAATGACTGCAATGACCAGAGCTGAGCCGATACAAAGCTGGGAGCCAGGAGCTACTTTCACATCTCCCACACTGGTGCAGGTTCCCAGGGCTTGGGCCATCTCTGCTGCTTTCCCAGGCCACAAGCAGAGAGAGCTGGATGGGAAGTGGAGCAGCTGGGACACAAACTGGTTCAGATATGGGATGACGGCACCACAGAGCAGAGGATTAGCGCCCTGTGCCACCACACTGACCCCAAGGTATATATCTAGCAAGTACAATTCCTGGGCTCAGTGTTGTGGTGCAATGAGTTATGATGCCGCTTGTAGCCCATCAGAGGGCCGGCTTGTGCCTGGTTATTCCACTTTCATCTCAGCTTCCTACTAATGTGCCTGGGAAGGTAAGAGAAGAGGGCCCAAGTACTTGAGTTCTTGCCACCCACACGGGAGATCTGGATGCAGTTCTTGGTTCCTAGCTTCAGAATGGCCCAGAATTAGCTATTGTACCCATCTGGAGAGTGAACTAGCAATCGGAAGACTAATCAATTGAGCTTTCTCTCCTACACCTTTTCCCTCCCCACCCCACCTCAACCAAGTTCTCTCCTGCTCTGTCACTCTGCTTTTTAAATAAGTAAATAAATTTTAAAAACACAACAAAAAATACAATATTATTTAACATTTGTATTTGTCATTAGTGTATGTTTCCAAAGGGCATATTTGTCTGATGCATCAATATGCCATTTGAACTTATCCGTATCTAGTAACAAACAGCTAGTGCTCAATTAAATATTCTTTTCAGAATGGATATTTTTATTTATTTTTATTGCAAAGTCAGACATATAGAGAGATGGAGAGACAGAAAGATCTTTCGTCCGATGATTCACTCCCTAAGTGACCGCAACGGCCAGTACTGCACCAATCCAAGGCCGGGAGCCAGGAGCTCTTTCGGGTCTCCCACATGGGTGCAGGGTCCCAAGGCTTTGGGCCGTCCTCGACTGCTTTCCCAGGCCACAAGTAGGGAGCTGGATGGGAAGCAGGCTGTCGGGGTTAGAACCAGCGTCCATATGGGATCCCGGTGCATTCAAGGCAAGGACTTTAGCTCCTAGGCCACACCGCCAGGCCCCAGAATGGGCTACTGTTATATTATCAAGTGACTTAATCCAGCAGTTCCTTATCTAACACTCCCTATTTACCTTACACCATCTCTAAAATGCACTCATCTTGACCTGCACTTGATACACAAGATTCACCTCGAAAGTCTTATATATTAATTTATCCTTTTATTCTTACATTTGCATTCTGGTAAGAAATGCTACAGCTATCATGTGTGGTACATAGCAGGTACTCAATGATATTTATAGATTAAACACATTTCATTAAGAAAAAAAAAATGCTACCTTAGTGATCAGAGGTTACAAAATTCCCAGAAAAGAGTAATTATCACTCTAAGTTTCTCTAAATTAATAGTTCATGCAATTAATTATTTAATATTGCAGGCTGATAAAAAACCTGGTTTCTGGGTCAGTCTAGTGGCTAAAGTCCTCGCCTTGCACACACCAGAATCCCCTATGGGCACCAGTTCTAATCCTGGCAGCCCCGCTTCCAATCCAGCTCCCTACTTGTGGCCTGGGAAAGCAGTAGAGGACGGCCCAAAGCTTTGGGACTCTGCACCCGCGAGGGAGACCCGGAATAGTCTCCTGGCTCCTGGCTATGGATCAGCTCAGCTCCGGTCATTGCAACCAACTGGGAGGTGAACTAATAGATAGAAGATCTTCCTCTCTGTCTCTCCTCCTCTTTCTACATCTGATTTTCTAATAAAAAATTTTTAAATCTTAAAAAAAAAAAAGAGCCCGGTTTCCCCATTCCTTTTTCAGACCAAGGTCTTAATGATGAACTCATTTGCCTTCTCTCCACTCGGAAACATTTTTTAAGCTAATGAAAAGATTACTTTGGCATTTCTTTTTTAGATGAGACTAACAGTATCTTAATTACATATTAATTAGTAAACAGACAAACATCAACTGTTCAAGATTGACTTATCAATATTCCCTTGGCTGGATGCCAATTAAGAGAGGACAGCTGTTGGTTCTGAAACCTCTTTGCTGAGAAAGTTGATTTTCTTCAACTTTTATATAAAGAAATGTTCAAAAGAAGAAAAGGGAAGTAGGAAAAGAAGGAAAGGAAAACATTATTTTCCAATTCACTTCATATCCTTTCCCTTCCCTCTCTTCTGAAAATGTATGTCTCAGAGCTTCTTTTTAAATAACAACTAAAAGGTTGAATTCTTATTTCATCTCACAGATGGTAAGATTGCTTGACTTACTACACATTTCATACACAGATACCCACAAGTATGAAATCTCCTTCCTTGGAATATCTGAAATAATATTAATAAATCCACATTTCAATAAGATTTCACCTTTTTAAAAAAATCTTAAACAGGAACAATGACAGCCTTCATGTTTAACTTGATCTGACACACTCAAATGGAGCACCTTCTCTTATTTAGATTCCTTCAAGTGAGAGAAAACAGGCCATTTTCCCTTGGTCACATCTTTCAATGCCTCTCAATTCTGACAATCAAGGAATCTTTCTTAGCTCTGACCTTAAATCTCTACTAGGTCAGTTCACACCTGTTCTCGCACAATTTCTCGCTACACAGATTACAGAGAAGTTAGTCGCTACACTTTCACCATATCATGCCATTCCTTTTCTGTTACTCAAAGTAGCTACAACAATAATCCTAGCTCTATTGCTTCGAGTCTTTTGTCATACTACTACAAACTACTATTTTTCCTGGCTGCAAGAAAAATCCTCATGGATTACCCACAACAAAGCAAAATGCAAAAACAACGCCCGACAAATGTCTCTCTCACAAGACATATACAAGAGAAAATAAAGGTGTGACTATGTCTATAAGAGAAGTACCTATATGAAATAATAATTAAGATCTCTGCCAAACACCTTTCAGAGGCAGAGACAACCCATGCAGTAATCAAGATCTCTTTTCATATTTATTTGAGACTGGGAGGGAAAAAAACCATGTCCACTCTTTTTTTCTTCTGCCTGAAAAATAGAGCCCCACAAATGCAATCACAGTAACCTAACATACCTTCTCTTCTCCCTGGCTTCCACAGAGGAGTCCGTTCCAGCGGAGGCAGGCACAGTGGTGGCTGTCACTCCATTGGCAGTGCTAGGAAGAGGGCGATTGGTGATGACACAGAGCGGGGTGCTAGGAGAGACACTGTCTGCTGTTTTCTCTGCTGTTGAGTCAGCCTGGGATTTGTAAGGGGTCCTGAAATTAAAAAGACACAAGCAGAAAATGAATGCTCAGGGATGCTACACAATGAAGTCCCGGGCCAGAGACTGAAGGGTAACAGACAGGCCTACTTAGAAAATCAGCCTGCTCAGATTTTATTTGCTTATCAATTCCAAGCTCTTAAATCTTTGAACACTATGATTACGCAGTTAATCTCACATTCTCTTCCCAAGGAGTTACATTTTGTGGGGTTTTTATCTATTTGTTTGCCTGAGATTAAAAAACAGAAACATTAGCTATGGAACAAGGCAAGAGAGTGACATATGCAAGGACATTTTCAATGACTTCAACACCATCTGGTCTCCAACCATGCACACAGACAGGGTTTCTCTTCACATGAAAAACACACCAAATTCACTTACAATCAATCTCAGTAGTCACCTGTCCCTCACTTCTTGACAATGGGCACTTCTGTGGGAATCTTCAGTGTACATCTGATAACCATCTTCTTGGATTATCCACAGACATCTGACAAACCTCTACAACCTCAGTATGGTTAGTTCTTGCTCACCAACTGCTCTTCTCTTTCCATGCGACCAAAACAAATACCTAATTATCTACTTCTATAACTGCATAAAGGAGAAACTGAAACAAAAACTGAACAGGATTCTATATCTAACCTTTATAGACTTTTCTGCAGCAAGCTGTATAATTAGATCCATTTACATGAAAACAAGATCTTTGTTTCTTAACAAAGACTTAGGAACAACCAATGGCTCTCCACCCCAAAAGCTATCATTTGTGATGTCACAGCTTGTTGCTGGGGTAACAGATCCAAAATTGATACAGAGATGAGAAAAGCAAAAAGCACGAATGTTATAAATCTGTTTTTTTACCTACTCACAATTTTTGCCAGAAATGTGACAGGTAGTTAGTTATACGTTCACTTTCAAATAATCATATTATTAAAACAAGCTTGGAAGAAATAATCAGATAATACAAAAATCTCAATACTTAGATACAAACACAAATATAGGGCACTTCTGAAGACAGGAGTGATGGCTAAAAAGCACAAACCATTTCTTCAAAAGCAACTGATTCAGATCAAAATGACAACTTATTTTTTTTTCTAATTAAGTGAAAGTTGAAGACAATTACTCAGGCTTACAAGACATAACAACCTTTGGGAAGTACAAATAAAATTAGCCAAAAACACAGCTATAAAAAATTACACTTATCAAGACCATACCTGAAATTTTATTTGGATAATAACACATATTAGCACCTGCAGTTTCTTAGGATGTAAAAATGTTTGAAATCTTCTTCTTCATTAAATTATGTAACAGGTCTTCCGCTATTATGTTGAAAGGTGGTATAATTCTACAGACTGCTGGTAGTAGAATAAGAGCTCTACAACAGGGTTCAGAAGCTGTACATGATGGCGAAGACACCTGGCCTTTGCAATCACCTGGAGATGAGCTGAAACTCATTTAACTGCTCTGATCTCTCATGTATAAAAATAGGAATGATGCCGTAAAATATAGGGTTTTTATGATGACTAAATAAAATAATGTACACAGAACACCAAACGCAGTGCCCAGAATAAAACATAAACTTAGTGCAAACAAAACTGTGACAAAATAGCTAAAGATCTTTGAAATTCACAAACCTGGGGTCAAATTCTGGCCGAGTTCCTGGCTAGCCATGTGACCTTGGACAGATAATTAAGATTTTGTTCTCAATTTCCTCATTTATAAAAAGGAATACAATTTCCTGTACTAAAGCACTGTTTAAGAGATGACCAATAATATAGAAGTGCCTGTGACAGCTGGTATTCTAACCCATATCATTGTCTCTTTTCTTCCTCACTAGAAGGGCCTCTAGATTATTAGGGCAGCAACACATTAGGTTAAAAACCCACATTTCCCAAAGTCTTCCCAGTCACTAGCGGTATCCAATGATTCACAAAACAGTGCTTCTGGAAAATTCTTGGTGCAGGGGAATTCTGCTTTGCCTGCTTGCCCCCCTTTCTCCCTCGTCCTGTCTAGACTGCACTGATGCCAGCTAGAGCTCCAGTACTGATCTCAGACTAGGAGACACCCACAGATACGAAAGCCAGGATGTCAGGACTAGAGTTGCACAGCAGAACTGGGATCTTTCCAAGACTGTGGAGCTACTGTGCCAGCCCTATTTCCAGGCATTCCTTTAAGCCACAATTACTTGAACGTATGCTTACATCTGAGTAAACTAAATCCCAAGATAATTTTTATACAGTGCCTAACCTAATGCCTCCCACGTAAGAGTTCAACACACAGTAGCAGTAATTATCTTTCCCAGTTTCAGCTCTTCATGACTGATTATGTAGCCTGCCTCTTGTCTACAGTGATAAGAGCTAACTATGGTCATGCAACTGGATTTATATGAGGATCTTAATTTCTAAACATAATTATACTTATATTAATATATTATTAATGCAATTATGAATAAAACATCATAAACCTGTGAACCCTGGCCAAAGTAATGGTCATGATTTATTTTAGGAAAAACTATCAAGTAAGTTAAAGTAGCAATCAAGCAATGTCATTGTTGACATTCTCATAGCAATACTATGGTCAGCATTATTTTTCATTTTCATGGTGTCAACAGAAGCAGACATATCAGAAAAAGGGACCATCTGCCCTATCTAAAGGCAAAAGGTCACTGACCACACAAAAAGGATCGAAAACTGCAACTAATGTTGTGTTGCATTTTCACAGTGCCGCTTAGTTTATGCCATCCATTAGATTAATTAGAAACCAAGCAGAATGAGCCCCCAGAACACAGACTGGACCAACACAGATGTCTGTCTTCTCACGCTTCCAGCAGAACTCTGTCACCGGCAGGAATTTATCAAAAGGCTTCAGGTATCTTTTGTAACATGAGTTAGCCCTTCTTCTGATTTGGGTTTGTATGTGTCTTCCAAAAAAAGACTAAATATAAGTGACTCTTACTCATAATTACTGGAAAATTACATAACTATGGGAATATTATTAATACTTAGTATGACTCCTAAATTGTAATCATAATTGATAAGGTGGCTGAGAGATGACAGTAATTATATTAAGTCCATGGTTAAACACCAAGTGCAATGACACCTATCCTTTAATTATTCAATAAGTAACTGTTCATTGGGCAATAAAAGTCAAAGCAAAAGAACCCTCATTAAATTATGGATGTTTTTACAGGAATTCAAGCTTGCTTCCTTTCGTGACAAGGTCTCTTTGCTTCACATCTCACGTGTTTCCAGAGGCTCCAGAAGCCTTACCTGCCATGGTGTACAGATGCAGTAGTGTTTGCACTGATTGGTGTAGAGCAAGAAGAGGCAGGTTGCCACTGGCTGCCCCGAGAGGTAGATGAACCAATGGTAATGGGTGAGGTAGCAGGAGATGAAGTGCGATTGGCTGAAATGTAGGGACTTGTGGGGTCACTACTTCTACCAAATGAAGCACTGAAAAACAGCACACAGTCACTTTCTTCAGGACATGCTGCTCACCCACCAGTTCCCAGCACCACCTTCCCACCCAGATTGTGCATTTAAAAGGAATGCAGACCAAAGAAAGGGTAATTATAACTGGGAAGTGAAGTGATGACTCGAGCCAGAGCTGGGTCCCTAGCAGTAAGCAAGCAATCATCCAAAGGAGTGAAGGAACCACCACTCTTTGAAAGATGATCTTTTTGTCAATCATCCAAAAGATAGAAGTGTGAAGGAGGAGAGATGATGTTTAACCAAAAAGCCAACCAGTAGAATATATGATACAAGAGTTGAAGCTAAGAGAAGAAAATAAACAGGAAACAGCATAATTCTATTAGGAAAAAAAAAATTCCCAAGAAGCCCAAGGCAAAAAAATTCATGCAACCCCAAATGTCTATCTGGTTTAAAAAAAAAAAAAGTAGTGCTGCCAAAGCTAAAGTAAGATCAGAGAATGTGGAGAGGTTTAGAAGAATAGATTTGAAATGTAACCAGAAGTAAAGAAGTCTTGTGAAAAAGGACTTTGGAATTACACTTATTGAATTTAAAGCAAAGATGTCTTTGGAAGAATTGAAAGTATAGAAGCAATACTGTATCAGTGATAAAAGGCAACTTTTCTATCCTAAGAACCCTTTCAATTACAGCAAAAAAAAAAAAAAAAAAAAAAAAAACAGGTTAGATTTAAAAATACCTTTTTTCCCCCTAAGGCAACACTTAGCAAACAAACAAACAAACAAACAAAAAACCAAACTTTTAACTGGCCCAAAACAGTTCCAGTCTAAAGACAAGGGTTAGAAAATGGAAAGTACATTGAAGTTTGGCATAGCTGGTGCAAGACAGCTTTCCCACACTTTCTTTGAAAAATGGTGATGACATGGGATTTTTACAGAATCAAAACATGCTTTAGGGTTATAAGAGAAGAGATTGGGAAATTCAAGGTCTGAAGCAAAGTTGTAGAATGTTTCTCTAGAAGTTCTCACACAATTAAGCATGCTCCCCATTTGAAACGCAGTCTTTCCCACCTCTGTTCATCATAACTTTGCCAAACTATTATCTACTAAACCAATGCCACTCGATCTGTCTCCTGATTATTTGGATCATGAAAATCAACAATCTCATCATAAAGTAGTTCATGACAGGAAACTAAATGGCAGCTTTCTCTCTTTCAATCCAGAACATCATTTTGTTAGAAAAAATTTATGGATTTTTGATTTCAACAAAAAGGAATAATAATATAGATAGGTAGACCAAGGCCTCAACCTTTAAGACAAATAGGTAAGAGCTTTATAAAGGCAAAAACACGTGGCTTGATAATAGATCACTGAATATTTGCATATTTTCAACATACAGCCCTTTCTTACATGATCTATCTGCAGCACTGAAGAAAATTTTAAGGCACAATGGCTCTTTGTTTTATAACTTTTTAATAACTATTTCCCATTATCTGACATTAACTAGTTGATACGAGCCTTCCTGTCAAACGCAAAAAAGTTTTGATCCCAAATAGCTAATCTGGTCACACAGTCTTTGGCCAAAGCCGGTTCCAAAGCCAACCAGTCATCTAGAAAACTACTGAAGGCTATGATGGGGAGAGGTAGCTGGAGGGGTGAAGTGGAAGTGAAGAAAAAACTCAAATAAGCAATGAGAAACAGACTCTTCCTCATCAGCAGCGAGGTTCAAATTAAAACATTAATTAAGGATATCTTGTGGCTTAATGGCTCTGGCAAAGGTGCTCTGCGTGCTGGCTAATATGTGGCAAAGAAAATAATTGCAGAAAAGGGAAAACAGATGAGAAAAGAAGAAGGAAACCCATGTACCTTCTCTGCACCAAACTTGCGAGTTTCTCATCTTGATGGATCTGAGGGCCATTATAGTCATCCAAAAAAAAAAAACAAAACTCAAGTCCCTAAGTTAAGAGGCTTCATTAGAAAACGTCATTAATGCAACAGAAAATTGTGCCCATTTCCCACCCCTTACCACCCAACAGTGCCCCTCCCTTCTTCCCCCCAAAAACACAACTTGCGATGAAAACTACTCTAGTTTTAGAAAAAGGAAAGGCAGCAGCTGGCCAAGGGTGCTTTACATTCAGTCTTGCCCAGAGATTAGAAGAAGTCGTGTCTAACTGAAGATTTTAGTAGGACTGAGAGGATGGAATAAAAAGTCAGGTTTGTGGTGAAAATTTGGAATTAGCTTCCTTTAATTCAGTTATCAAGAGAATAAATTAATTTTGTTAGTCAAGATGTTAATCCCAAGAAATCTAAAAGTAATTCATTTTTGATTCATTTCTGCGGTGATAATTGGATATAAGATGGCATGCAGTTCTGACCCACATTTCCACAGCCAAAGTGGAGGAAATCCATCTGCTGCCCCCGAGAGCCAGGTACCTTTTCAAGTAGGTTGACACGTAGGCAGAAGGAGCAATCGTTTGCGGGGCTTCATTTCCCTTGGCCTCATCCCTCCACAGTTGCCGGGGATAGGAGCCGCTCCTCACCAGGTTCACAGCTGATTCTCTGTGGAGGCATATAGGAAAACACAACACTGTTGCTGCCTCCAGTTTCTGTCCAAAATACAATGCAAACAGGAAAAAAGGGCCTGGCAGAGGAGCACAGCAACATGGCTAAGGAACCAGACTCATCTCCAGCAATCTATCTTCATCTGTCTGATTCCTATACAGAATGAGTTAAGTATTACTGTCTGCTTTCTTTCAAAAATTTCTTTTTTCAAATTTTATTATTTTTATTGCAAAATCAGATATATACAGAAAGGAGGAGAAAAAGAGAGGAAGATCTTCTGTCCGTTGATTCACTCCCTAAGTGACAGCAACGGCCGGTGCTGAGCCAATCCAAGGCCAGGAGCCAAGAACTTCCTCCAGGTCTCCCATGCGGGTGCAGGGTCCCAAGGCCTTGGTCCATTCTTGACTGCTTTCCCAGGTCTCAAGCAGGGAGCTGGATGGGAAGCGGGGCTGCCAGGATTAGAACTGGTGACCATATGGGATCCTTGTGTATTCAAGGCGAGGACTTTAGCTGCTTAGCCACGGCACTGGGCCCTTCTTTCAAAAATTTCAAAGTCAAATGATTTCAAAAAGTACCAAACTCCTCATGTGAAGTACCCTTAATGGAAGAGCTGTCAGTCCCTGGCAGCGGGCTATGTGTAAGTCAGGAAAGAGGGCCTTGGGTAAGAGAGGTTGTCAGGGAAAGAGGTACTGCAGAAGGAGAAAGGAAAGAGGCCTTGCTGGAACCTTCATGAGCATCAGAAATGCAGAAGCATCAGGAAGGTGTTGTAGTTGCACTGCTGATTCACAACTGGTGTCTTAGCAAAACAAGTTCTCACTCTCCGTACTCCACAAGGCTGTACAGGGCAGCCCTTTTCAAATGTTAATATTAACATATATACTATTTATACATTAACATGAATGTGTTTTAATATTAATATTTATACATATGTGTCCATGTGAGTATATTTGAATCCGTGATGGGGTTTGGTAAAGCTGCAGATCCTAATTTAGCAGCTCTGAGCTGGAAGCTAAGAGTCAGCAAGTGTACCACGTTCCCTCCTGCACCCCAGAGACACCGATAAGGCTAGCTGGAGGATTCCATCTAGAGAAGAACTGTTCTAGACCAAACCCTGTCCTGAGCGTGGCAGTACATCCAAATCCCTACAGTCATTTTAACTTCTTCCTAAATAAACATTATTAACAATAGCCAAAATAACCCAACTATTATGTAGGTCTGGCATTGTTGCAAATGGCATGTTTCAGTCCCAAATACTCCACTTCTGATCCAGCTCCCTGCTACTGGCCTGGAAAAAGTAGCAGAAAGTGGCCCACGTGCTTAGAGACCCCTGTCACTCACAGGAGACCTAGATGAAGCTCCTTGTGTCTGGCTTTGATCAGGCTCAGCTTAGGACACTACAGCCATTTGGGGAGTAAACTAAGAGAGACAAGATCTCTCTCTAACCCTCTCTCTCTGGCTTTCAAATACATCTTGTTAAAAAAAAAACTATCATTTTAATTTCTTCATCTGTTTGATGGGAAACACTTAAACTGTATGTACTTACAAATCAGAAGTGAGTTACTGAATTAATAGTTTTAGTGTTTATTATGTGCTAAGCACAGTGGTAGGCACTGTGAACAATGGAAAAGTACACAGACTCTACTTCTGCAGAGCCTGCTGGTGAACTGCACCTAAGCCACAGCCAGGTGAGTCAAAGGAAACTTCCTAAAGACAGGAACGTCTAAGCTGAGGTTACAATTTGAAGGGCAGAGCAAGGAAATAAGGACAGGGAAGTAATGTAAACAGGAACAACAAACAACCCATCACATGCTCAGGAAATTCACAGAAAAAAAGCAAGGAAGACTGAGGAGATGGCCAGACCCAGCAAAGCAGAGAGGGCCACTTCCAGCCTGCACTGAGGTTACCTGTTCTCCTTCTCTTCAACGTCACTTGTGCTGTTGAGCCTCCGGGATGCTAGTGAACTAAAATAGCTTCGATTTTCTCTCTCCTGTAAAATAAGAATCAGGTATAAAGCATGGGGAACATACAATATTGACACGGTAAAAAAAAACATATTGACACGGTGTAAACACACTTGGTGTCCAAAAGCAGAACTTACTGTATCTATACAATCTTATCTCTGGACTCAGTGTTAACCTCACTTCCAGCAACACTACAGGTTAGCATCAAATGTTTGCTCCTGACCCTCTTCCATTTAAACCTGGAGAGTAGGGAAATGGTTCTCATGGGAAGTGTCAGGGTGATCAACAAGGAAAATAGCAATGCTCATGCCATGGAGCTGCAGCTTTGCCAAGACAGAGAGGGGGCTGCGAAAGGCCACCAGCACAAAGAACCATCTCTAGTCTCCAGCAAATCTTTTCCCTAAAATGCCACTTCCTGAGGGACACCCATGACAAATATACATGGTGCGGGGTGAACCCAAACAACATCCTGTCTCTCTGTGGGTCTTCCACAAATGCAAGACAACACAAGAGGACCCTGATGATAAGAAAGTCTGACCTTGAACAAGGGTACTAAACGCGCCCTGCAAAATCTGGAACCCAAAGTGAAGAAAACAGAAACATACTCATCTTGCGTGAATGCACAGGTGAACTATTTGTGAAATTAATCTGAATATAATCCTGCTAGTGAAAAATAGCATGTATTTTTTTCCTCTAAGTGCTGGCTTGCCTGAATTTTATTCAATTCTGAGCCCAGCTTAAGGAATTTTGTTTCCAAACATCAAAAGATTAACTTTCTGAACCTTCTAGGTTATATTCAAATTTTCATGCTTCTGTCCATTGTTTTGCTTGGTAGCTAAGAAGAATGAAACCACAGTAAGTCAAAAGAAGAAAGCTATTTTTATAACTTGTTTCCCCTCTCTTGGCCAGGTAAACAAAAGCAAGCAAACAGCAACTTGCTTAAACTATCAATGTACTTGCTCTCTTCAAAGGTTTTGTGCATCCAGAATGAACTCACAGGGTTGAAGGTACTTTCATTTGCTCCCAAGATTGAATTTTCATGGAAGCAAACTGCCTTGAGAGTCCCCCATTCCCTGCCGACATGGCACCTTTTCTTTGTTGTCGAGCAGAGCAGAAATCCGCGGGCTTGACGAGGAGCGATGGATGGAGGAGCCCCGGTCCCTTAGCGCCTCCCTGGAATTGGCGCCCTCACTCAGCACGTTGTGGCTGCCAGTTTTTCTTAGTCCCAGCCTCCATGAAGAAGGGGATTCATCTTTGGGCTCTTCTGACTTATTAAAAAGGCTGGAGGAGAACTAGGAGGGAAGAGACAAAGACAAAAATTAAAAACAAAACACAGGTCCCGATGCTTCTTTTCCAGCGTGTCTGTCTTCTCCACACTTAACTAATTGCAGAGAGGCAACAGACAGTGCTAGAAGGATGACTGCACGGTCACTTTCCGCCAGTTCTCCCTTCCTCGCCCAGCAGAGGCTAGCAACTGCTGCAGGCCCTCCTCCCTAGGCCAGCAAAGCCTCAGAACCTTAACACACTGCTCTGACCTGATACAGCTCCTGCAGGAATTAAATGCTATCTGCCCTCCATCTGCAGTTAGTGCTACTGTAAAGACTCAGGAGATGGTGTTCTGGCAATACAGCTTCTCTTGACTCACTGTGTCACTGAAAATAAGACATTTTACTTCTCTAGGTCTCAACAAGCTTATCTATACAACGGTAATAATAAGCTTAATTCTCCTTTAGGTATGCTTATTTTGGATGTATAAAAACCAAGAAATCAATGAATATGAGAGGTCGTCAATATTCCTGAAAAACATACTTTATGAGTTGGCGATCTGGCACAGTGAATTAAACTGCTGCCTGCAAGACCAGCATCCCGTATGAGCACTGGTTCAAGTCCCAGCTACTCCACTTCTGATCTTGCTCCCTGCTAATGCATCTAGGAAAACAGAGGATAGTCCAAGTGCTTGGACCCCTGCCACTTATTTGGGAAATCTGAATGGAATTCTAGGTTCCTGGCTTAGGCCATTGTGTGGATGGGGACCAGCAGATGGAAGATCTCTTCCTGTGTGTCTCCCATTCTTGCTCTGTGTCTCTGCCTTTAAAATAAATAAATCACTTTTTAAAAGGATTTATTTATTTTTATTAGAAAGGCAGGTCCACAGAGAGGAGGAGAGACAGAAAGACCCTTCATCCACTGGCTCACTCTCCAAATAGCCACAACAGCTGGAGCTGAGCCAATCTGAAGCCAGGAGCCAGGAGCTGCTTCAGGGTCTTCCACACAGGTGCAAGGCCTTTAGGTCTTGGACCATCCTACACTGCCCTCCCAAGCCACAAGTAGGGAGTTGGGAGAGATATGGAACAGCTAAGAGATGAATCGGTGCCCACATAGAATCCTGGTATGTGCAATGTGAATATTTAGCCACCGAGCTATCATACCAGGCCCATGAGTCATTAAAAACAAAAAAAAGGAAAATGTATATTATGTGAAAAACTGCATGTATTTAAAAAATTTTTTGTATAAAAATAAACTTAGCTGTAAATCCCATTAACTATGAATATTTGAATGCTCCCCTTTTTCTAAAGGGAAAATGTCTTTTCCAGCATTATTTTAACCAAATGTAAACGCATGTTTATCTTTTTATCTAATTTTCATTCGTTAAAAATGGGAAGTCTGATTCTATATAAAAGCAAAGGCAGTATGTGAGATACAGTCAAGTAACTGGGCCGTGAATGAGGCCCACATTCTATCTGAAATTTCTGGAATGGTACATAATGATATTTCAAGGATTAAAGAAGTAGTCAAGGCTTTGCTCCCCATTTCCACAGTGCTGCCATATGCCCATCTTTCCAACTAATGAGGTGCAAAGATCCGAAACAATTATAAAACCAGAACTTTTCCCACAACTTCACTGCAAAGGACTCAAGTCACTTCCTAACATCAAAGCTACTTTTCTGCTTTGTGCGGCACTGTCCTGGCTCCGGCTGGCCACACGGAGCGGGAGACTCTGTGCGGCCTGCACAGGATGCGTGGGGAGCTGCCTCTGTGGTTTAACATTTCTTTCTACCTCTGCCCTGTACTCAACATAAAGTATCAAGATTTTTCTAGGAAAATTGGGTTTAAAGATAGAAAAAGCATAACTAGATGACTCACTAATCCACTCCAAACTTGATATAGCTACATGCAGATAATGAAGAAAATGGGCAAATGACAAAATGTCTTTGTTCCCAGACTATTTTTATCTGTGTCATAAAACAGTGCAAATTAGGTTGATGATGATTTTATAGGACTTTTTTAAGACAACATAACAGACTGAATTTTTGAATCGCACCAATTCATATGCAGAAGCCCAGCCCCTAATGTACCTATATTTGGAGACAGGACCTATGAGGAGATGATAAGGGTGAAATATGCTACTAAAGTAAGGACCCTAATCTCCTAGGGCTAGTGCCCTTATAAGGAACACCACGGGCCAATATGGTTGTATGGTGAATAAAGCATCGCCTGTAGTGCCAGCTTTCCATGTGGATTTTGGTTCAGGTTCCAGAAGAGAAACAGAGCTCTCTCTCCACCATATTAGGAGCATTAGTAGCCAGAAGGTAGCCAGCTAATTCTCCTCCTGCAAGCACCAGGATCCCATATGGGTGCTGATTTGTGGCCCAGCTGCTTCACTTCCCATCCAGCTCCCTGCTTGTGGCCTGGGTAAGCAAAGGAGGATGGCCCAAAGTATTGGGATCCTGTACGCAGGAGAGACCCAGACGAGGCTCCTAGCTCTTAGCTTTGGATTGGCTCAGCTCTGACTGTTGCAACCATTTGCGAGTGAATAAGCAGATGGAAGATCTTTCTGTAAATCTGACTTTCCAATAAAAATAAGTAAATCTTTAAAAAGAAGGTAGCCAGCTTCAGGTTGGAAAGAGAGCTCTCCCTAGGGCTCACCTGAATTGACTGTACCTTGATCTGAGATATCTGGGTCTCCAGAACTGCAAGAAACAGATGTTTACCTAAGCTTCCCAGTGTGCAGTCCTTGGATATGGAAGAAGACTGTATCTTTATTATTTTTGTGAGAGAATATCTTTAAGGTTTTTCTTTTTTTAAAAAAGATTTATTTATTTTCATTGCAAAGTCAGATATACAGAGAGGAGGAGGAGAGACAGAGAGGAAGATCTTCCGTCCGATGATTCACTCCCCAAGTGAGCGCAACAGCCGGTGCTATGCCGACCCAAAGCCAGGAGCCAGGAACTTCCTCCAGGTCTCCCACACAGGTGCAGGTCCCAAGGCTTTGGGCCATCCTCGACTGCTTTCCCAGGCCACAAGCAGGCAGCTGGGTGGGAAGCAGAGCTGCCAGAATTAGAACCGGCCTCCATATGGGATCCCAGCGCGTTCAAGGCGAAGACTTAAGCTGTTAGGCCACGCCGGTGGGCCCCTTTAAGGTGTTTCTAAATGTGTTATCATAGCCAAATGTTAAGTGCAACAGTCAGATTAATTCCAAAGTACTCACTCTCCTAGTAGAAAAAGCCGAGAAGGCATTCTGAGCTGGTGTTGGTGTCTGCTCCATAATACTTCTGCTCTCAGAGTTGGAATGGTTGACAACGGCTTCTGGCTTTTTATCTGTTATTTAAGACAAGGGAAGAAACAAGTGCAAATATGAAATCTTGTTTTCATGTCTATGTGTCCTTCTCTGCCAACAGAAAGAGGCTGCCCATTTTTCAAACATATTATTAGAGCCATATAATACCTGGCTTGAACTAAGATGGAATCTCAAACAGATGCTGGTGAAGAAAGCAAATTCAATGATTTATGCATCTTGGTAAGATCTAACTTCAGTTTCCATATGAAAATTGAAAACTGCCTCCAAAGCAGTTGTTACCTATAAAAACCATCAGTACCTACAAATTATGAATATACTTTGTGTGTTTTTTGGGAGGACGAGCTGAAAAGATCAGAAAAAGCTTGACAGGTATTGCTTTGTAGCTAATTATAATCAAGAAAAATACTAAAAGTCTACTGCTGTTGTGCAGTGATATAAGCTACCATCTGACGCCTGCATCCCCAAAGAGTGCTGGTTTGAGTTCCCGTTACACCACTTCCAGTGCAGCTCCCTGCTAATGCACCTGAGAAAGCAGCAGACCCAGCCCAAGTGCTTGGACCCTGGCCACCCATGTAAGGACCTGGATGACTCCCAGCTTTGACATGGCCTGCTAGAGCTATTGTAGCTACGTGGGGAATGGAACCAGAGAACAGAAGATCTCTCCCTCTTGCTCACTGTAACTCTTTTAAATAAATAAATACAACTTTCAAAGAGAGGAAGAGAGAAAGAGAGATAAGGATAGCAACAAGACCAGCACAGATAATGTAGGTGATAATCGGTTGATTCAGATCAACAATTGCTACAGGAGTTCATACAAGAGAAAAATCCCCTGAGAGAGGAAACCACCAGTGAATGGTGTGATCTTAGCCAAATTTCTCTAAAGAAATCAAACCATGGAGGAAACCAGAATACTGACTGGCAAGTGGAGGAAAAAAGAAAGGGGAAAAACAATGGGTCAAAAATAAAAATATACATATCTGTTAGTGAAGTAGCAGGCCCAATTTAAATAACAGATATTCTTAGGTTACATTAGGAAATAAATAAAAAGCATTATGGAGGGTGTTACATGTTAAGCTTTGGGTTTTTAGTAACTAAACTCACATGAACGTAAACAGGAGTGGCCATCTCAGCAAGGTCATCAGGCCAGAATCTTGCCTGTTTTGCTCACTGCTGCATGCTACATTGCCAGCACAAGGCCTGCACTCGGGGGCATGGTTCTGGGCCTCTGTACTCTGGAAACAAAGCTCCCAGACTAATGCACCTGTGAGGTAAGTGACAACTGTAAGCTGTGACACTTGCCAAGTTACTAATCATTTATATTAGTTACTGAACCTTTATATTCTCACTGGTTAATCGGAAATTTTGATTCTCACTTTGAGAATTATTTTAAAAATTATAGACAGTATTTTTACATTGAGCAGCTCAATGACGGGGGATAGTTAAATCTCTTCTGTGAGCTATGAATGTCTGTAGTTATTGTCAGGAATATTGAAAATTTAGGAGCCTGGTACATGGTAGCCTGGCAGCTAAAGTCCACACCTTGCACAAGCCAGAATCCCATATGGATGCCGGTTCTAATCCCTGCTGCTCTACTTCCAATCCAGCTCCCTGCTTGTGGTTTGGGAAAGCAGTAAAGGACAGCCCAAAGCCTGGGACCCTGCACCCATGCAGAATACCTGAAAGAGTATCCTAGTTCTTGACTTCAGGTCAGTTCAGCTCTGGCCCTTGCAGCCACTTGGGGAGTGAACCAGTGGGCAAAAAATCATTCTTTCTGTGTCTCCCTCACTCTTTAAATCTGCCTATCCAATAAAAATAAATAAATATTTTTAAAAAGAGAATCAAAAGAAAATAAAAAATATCTGAATATCTCTATCCCCAAGAAATGTACCTTCCTAGCCAATTCTGACAGATAGGTGACGTGCTCCCTTGAATTCATTTCCTTGGTAGTACCTTTTCAGATCGATTCTGGGACTAGCCGTATGACTCACCATGGACACTGGACATTAGCAGATGTGACACAGGCAGAAACTGGGAAAGTGTTTGTGTATTGCACCTTGGACTCTGGATGTTCCTGGAATTCAGATGCCCTTAAGAATGCTGAGACTAGCCAGCTTTGCAATAGGAGACACAAGGCCTACCTGCCCTAAAACCTCCAGGCCAGCCAATACAAAGGATCTGACCTCCCTAGCTATCTTACCCACAGATTACAAAAAAATCTGAGCCCAGCAGCATCATGTAGAGAAGACAAGCCACCTTCTCAAATTGCCAACACACAGCAGGGTCCCCAAGTTCTTCTTGTAAGATACCAAGTTTGTATTATACAGCAAAACCAACTGATACACCAAATGTTTTGTTTAAATCAAATAAGGAAAATAAAAACAAAATCCAAATCAAATTGTCTACAGTCACCTCAAAAGATAACTAAAACATTTACAGTAAGACACATGACAATTTGGTATCTGTGCATCCTTAAAAACAAAGAGGAGGAGAGGCAGAGAGAAAGATCTTCCGTCCGATGGTTCACTCCCCTAGCGGCCGCAACAGCCAATCCGAAGCCAGGAGCCAGGAACTTCCTCTGGGTCTCCCACATGGGTGCAGGGTCCCAAGGCCTTGGGCCGTCCTCGACTGCTTTCCCAGGCCACAAGCAGGGAGCTGGATGGGAAGCAGGGCTGCCGGGATTAGAACAGCACCTATTTGGGATCCTGGCGCGTGCAAGGCGAAGACTTTAACCACTACACTATCACACCGGGCCCAAAAATAAATAAATCTTAAAAAAAAAGTATGAGATAAGTAATATAAAGGAAGTTCAAATGCTTGAATAAGCTCATAGAAAATGAGTTTTATAAAGACTATAAATGGATTTCAAAAATATTTTTCAATTTTTTAATATTTCATAAATATTTAGTACAAAAGTAAACTTATCAGGGCTGATGCTATTGCTCAACGTGTAGCACCAGCATCCTATATAGCTGATGATTCATGTCCGGGCTGTTCCACTTCCCACCCAGCTCCATGCCTGTGAGGACTACTGAAACGGCTCTCCAGGATTGGTTGAACAACGCTCTGCTCGCACTGCTCCTCTGGCTTCTCTGATACAGATATATACACCCTGGCTTTTCTCCACCTTTCTGGTTTTCTGCTGCACTTCCTACACCTGCTCTGACCTGAGATTCTCATCCGGTGCCTCTTTTTTATACAGCCTCTCCCTTGGGGAACTCATGCTTTGTACAGTTTCACTTCGTGGGCAGAGCATTTCCGGGATCCCAGCCACTCTGAGAAGTCCCGTAGCGAAGCCAGGATCTCTGGCAGGCCGCCTCCCAGCTATGAAATCTAACATTCCGAATTTCAAACAGTTTCAACTTGCCACGCTACAAAGTGCTGAAAAGAACATATTCTACAGAGCTTGGCAGTAAGGGTTAAAGAGCCACATTTAAGAGAGTAAAAAGTAAAAAGAAAGTAAAAAGCACCATGCAAATGTAATGTTTATTTTAATTCCTTGAGCCAGATATATTCTCTTTGACTAGTGAATACCCTGCCTGCATTTATATCACTCATTTTTCATTCATATATATGCTTTCATAGTCCTCTACTAGATACACACAGCAAAGAACATTTGACGACGGTAAATGTCCACCATGTGTGAAGCGCTGAGCTGGCAGGTGAGGCAGTGTGACACAGCACAGTCCCAGCCAAAATACTGAATGTTGCAGCAGCGCACAAGGACACAGGACGGGGGCCATTATATGGCTGGGAGAAGGAAAAAGTCCACTCCTTTTCAGCTTCCTGGACCAGAAAAACCTAAAGGAAGTCTTTTTCAACCTGCTAGGCCGTACAGCTTCTAATGAATCACTTAACAAGCACGCTAGGGTCTGAAATGAATTCTAATGCACTAATAAACATTTGGGGGCAGGAATGCCACGATGGTTGAGGAAATGAAGCAATCTGATTTGGTGAGAGAATATTCTCACTCACGCACCGCAGTGAAAAGTCAGCTGGAACTAGATTATAAAAGGCTTTGAAGGCTGGGTGACGGGCTTGGGATTTATTCTGCAAAGATGGAGAGAAGAAGGGGATAGAAGGTCTTTGATCAGAGGTACAACGTGATCAAAAAGGTGCTTTGGGTGTTCTTCTCCAATAGCAATGTAAAGAAGGGTTGTGGGGAACAAGAGATCTGAGGCAGAGATATAAAGCAAGGGCAGTAGTTCAGCCAGCTCTCTCCTGTTTTTCTAATGTCTTGGTAGCAACAAAGAGTAATTCCACATATTAATTCTAGGTAACCATTGAAACCTAGAACTTCTACTCAATAAATAGTACAATTATTTTTGAAATGACATTTATAAGTTGCTATAGTTATTACCTTCTCACTTCTAGAGTTACAGCTTATTAGTAACAGAAATTCAAGCCTCAGTAGAGATCAGCTCTGACCTGCAAGCCTAGCTGATGCCTGTGCTTTCTCCACAGAGCTGACGGTTTCTCACGTCTCTGGTGACAACGAGTCTCACAAATTGAGACCTGAAGAGGGGCTGCATTCTGCATTAACTGAGAGAGATGTGGTCAGTGAAGCCTCACCCAGAGTGGGGGCCCAGGTAACACCGTGAGTTGAAGACCTTTATAGCAGGTAGGCCAGCTACTCCAGAGCTTACGCACAGGCTGCCTTATACACTTCAGCTGTGACCTTTCTCCTGTAACTTGGTCTTTTAACTGAAAACATTTCATCCTACTATGGACTCAAATCTGGATAATACTCCAGTGAACACAGGACATATTGTAGTCACACTTTGTCCTTAATGTTCAATGATGTACAACTATTCTGTTGACAGCTGAATCTCTGCGCCATAGGATCCAGCATCTCTTTTCGCAGTGACTGCCCGACTAAATCAAGTCCTGGGAGATACAGCTTGTTGACCTGACCACCTTACTCACTGTTAAGGTTTCTGTCTGAGTCCTCGGGAGCTGCTTATGATGCATAGGAACCAGGGTAGGGGGCAGGCCTGGTAGGGATTACGGGGAGTTGCCCCGACTAGGCTACAGCTCCAGCTGGTTGGGTGAGGGCCGAGTATGAAGTGGGCACGATTGGGCTGGACTGCAACATCCATTGGTTCACATGGAAGACAGGGCTGGAAACAGAACTGACCCAGCAATTGCAACCACCAGCATATGCATAAGCTGATTGGGGCAACAGACTGTGCCAGACCCTGTACTAGCAAACGCACACAAGAATCAGGTCTGTGATTACCTCAGACGAAGTTTCTCTGGGGATCCCTGCTAAACGCAACCTGGCATTGTCCTCAACTCCTCACCCAGAAATGCAAGGAACTTTACATTAGAAAAAAAAAAAACTAAAAGATTTACAGACTCTTCACAGGATCAGACAAATCTGAAACCTGTTGATTAAAAGTATTTGACCATTGCTTGCAGTGATGGCTCAAGTAGCTAATCCATCCCCTGCATGTGCCAGGATCCCATATGGGCACTGGTTTATGTCTCGACTGCTCCGCTTCCCATCCAGCTCCCTCTGCTTGTGGCTTGGGGAAGCAGTTGAGGATGGCCCAAAGCCTTGGGACCCCGCACCCACATGGGAGACCCAGAAGAAGCTTCTAGCTCCCGACTTTGAATCAGCTCAGCTTCAGTTGTTCAGGTCATTTGGGGAGTGAATCAAAGGACAGAAAATCTTTCTCTCTGTCTCTCATCTCTGTAAATCTGCCTTTCCAATAAAAATAAATAAATCTTTAAAATAACACAAAAATAAACAGAAGTATTTGACCAAAAGCGGATCTGCAAGATCTTACCTTCTGTGCCTTAAGGCACAAGGGAGTTTTTGGAATCTGGTCTCTAAGCCATCTACCACCCCGAGGCTGGGAAAGTTGGCTCCCTTGCAGAAGAAATTCTTTGTGTACCTTATCATATGGCTAAACAGCAACTGACAGATGTTGTGACATACTTCACATGTTTACAACCAAGTTGTCACTAGAACAGTTTGTCCTTGAAAAGCAGAATTTCAAGTCCTCTTGGAAGCCCAGAGAGACCTAGCTAGTTCTCTCACAAGCACTGATCTCTTCACGATGGCATGAAAATCGAGAACCTTTGCTATGAACATACTTGCATTACCTGCCTCCTTCTCATTTTCTGATTCTGAAGCTTCATCTTCACCCTCCTCTTCCTCTGAGCTGGAGCTGCTGGATTCTTTGTTTTCCTCCTCTGTGTCCTGAGACTTGGGGGGCTCCTCCTCGTAAAGCAGCTTTTCCTTGCTGAATTAAAGATGACAATTGGAGGGTCATTCAGAAGGGACACACCATTTCACTCCCTAGCAATCAGATGTCATGAAGGGAACAAGTCCATAAGCCTACACAGAGGGGGTAGCAGAAAGAGATTGGAGGGCTTCTGTACAGCTGTGTATTTCTCTAAACCCCGGGTTTCTGCGAACTGCAGACTGGCATTTCATTCCAGGGTGTGACTCAAGGAAATATGGACTCCGTGGTATACTAGAAAAGGGAAAGCTGCAAACTTTGATGATGATAGAACAGATAAATATTGTTTAAAAATCATTGAAGAATTGTTATGGAGAACTCATTAGATATCAGGAATTGGGTGTGGGACTGTACTCTGGTAAACAAGGCTGACTCAGTCCTTGAAATCACAGAAGTGACAAGTAAGGAGGCTGAGAACACTTAAGCTGGGTGGAAAGGAATCTCGCAGGCCATCTCCACTAACTTTTAACATAATTAACCATCTTTAGTATCCTCTGCTCTCCTCCCCCAGCAATACAACCTCCTTACTCTGAAAAAGTTTTCACATGTTTAAAGATCATTAGGCTAAAATCAAACACAAAGTTCTTTGATTGTGTAAATTTCCCAAGTATGGCATCTATGCACAGTGAAGCTCAACTTATTTGCCAAGCCTAAATGTCTTACTTCTTAAAGAATCCACTCTGCAACTTGCTGTTCAGATCTGACTCAATGAGTTTATTCCGTGTCTCCTTCTCACTTCGAAGCTGGAAATTGAGAAAACAGAAACAAAGGAAGAAATTGACTACTGGTGAAAAATGAGCGGTACTAGAAAGATCCAAAAACGGTTATGATTCAGAAGATAGGACCTGTGTCAGAGAGCGAACTGAAAAAGAAATGCATCAGTTGGACCTCCTTAGCAAGACAGAAAAAAATCCTCATCCAACACGGAAGCGGAAAAACAGTGGTGGTAAAAACAGTGCTGCCCTATTAACTATACAAACCCATCCCCCAGGGGAGCTTAGCTTACAAATGACAGAAAGTAAGAGGAAATGTCAAATTTCTGGGGGAGTGTTGTGGCACTGTAAGTTAGACCACTACTTGCAATGCTGACATCCCATATCAGACCACCAGTGCAAGTCTACTGTCAATGATCTTTTCCCCTCACCCAAACTACTCATTCCATTTATGGGAGGCAAGAACAACCTAGTAGGGCTGGTGTTGTGGCATAGCATCTTAAGCCACTACTTGCTACACTGGGACCCCATATTTGAACATCAGTTCAAGTATCAGCTACTACACTTCTGATCCAGGTTCTGCTGCCAATATATATGAGAAAGCAGGGTCTGATGGCCTGAGTACTTAGGCCCTGTCACCTGAGACTTTGGCCAGCCCATCTCTAAAGTAAACCAGCAGATGGAGGAGCACGCTCTCTCTGCCTCTCTTTCATTTTCCACCTCTTCTTCCTCCACTGCTCTGCTTTCCAAATGAAGAAATATATTTAAAAAAAAAAAAGTAGGGGCCGGCAGCATGGCCTAGCAACTAAAGTCCTCACCTTAAACGTGCCAGGATCCCATATGGGTGCTGGTTCTAATCCCTGCAGCCTCACTTCCCATCCAGCTCCCTGCCTACAGCCCAAAGCCTTGAGACCTTGCACCCGTGTGGGAGACCTGGAGGAAGTTCCTGGCTCCTGACTTCGGACTGGCACAGCACCAGCCGATGTGGCCGCTTGGGGAGTGAATCATTGGACAGAAGATCTTCCTCTCTGTCTCTCCTCCTCTCTGTATATCTGACTTTCCAATAAAAATAAATAAATCTTAAAAAAAAAGTAACACATTCATTCTTCATCTTTACACTGGGTGAGTTTCCCAGTCTGTAGGCTATCTGGTATCATGCGTCTGCAGTTCTGTAGGACTAGACCAAGCAGAAGAGCACATGCAACAACACACAGTGTAAACAAGCAGGAGAGAAGAGGACTGAACTTTGCATGTTTTGTGATTCTGGAATAAATATGAATCACTGACCAAGTCCTGTTCAATACAAAATGCCAGTTTTGTGTGTTTCCTAAGAAAGCAATGTTTCCCTCTATGTAACCAACAAACTTTAAAGATATCCTTTGAGCCAATAAGAAAAAAAGTACGAGGTATTCCTTACTCTGATACTTTCTATTTGATAAAAAAAAAAAACAAAACAAAACAACTCTGGACATACCACATTCATGTTCTAGAATTCAAAGGTAATTATTACGTCTCTGTTGTTGTTTTTCACTTTCGTCTACCTGAAGGCTACCTTATCTCACAGTGAGCCAACTTGAGCAACAGTGGTTTCTGGGATACCTTCTGTTAGACTGTTTACTGGTCTGACAGGAAGCATTCAATGCTTCCGGAATGCAGATCTGTCCATTTGCATTCTCGGCAGACATAGCTCAAGCAAGTGACTGAGATCTCTGGTATGGACTGCAAGCTGTTGGAAAAGTTTCTAAATTAGCAACCAGGACTCACCACATTCTGCTTCTTCTGGAGCATCTCCAAGTGCTCCACAAGACCCTCATCAGCCACGTCAAATGGTGTCTGGCCCTGGCAGAGAAAAGGGGGCACCATGACTGACTGGAAACAAATGCAGAACTGTCGGAGAGTCATTTCACACCCACTTTCTGCCTTTGACTTCAATGATCGCCCTTCCCTAACTCATCTCTCTTCTGTTAAGATAACACCACCAATTATCACATAGGAAACAGTGTGAAACAGCAAATCCTTTAAATACAGACTTTCATACTTTATAAAACAACTTGACGAAATCAGCATTCACTTCTAGTGCTTAAGGATTCTTCCCAAATAATCAAGTGAAACCTCTACTTGTATCTGTTCCAAAATGGCCTTAATTTCTATAAGTTCAATATGGGCCCTTAAAGAACCCAGAGGGAGGGCCCGGCATGGTGGTGCAGTGGTTAAGGTCCTCGCCTTGCTTGCCTGGGATCCCATATGGGTGCTGGTTCTATCCTGGCAGCCCTGCTTCCCTTCCAGCTCCCTGCCTGTGACCCTGGAAAGCAGTCAAGGACGGCCCAAAGCTTTGGGACCCTGCACCCGCGTGGGAGACCCGGAAGAGGCTCCTGGCTTCGGATCGGCATAGTATCGGCTGTTGCGCTCACTTGGGGAGTGAATCATCGGACGGAAGATCTTCCTCTCTGTCTCTCCTCTCTGTATATCCGCCTTTCCAATAAAACAATAATAAAAATAAATCTTTAAAAAAAAAAAAAGGAACCCAGAGGGAGTTTCCAAGACACATGTATGCTAAATATCAAGTCAAAGGAACCATTTCCTTTAGGTGAAAGAAGGGCACATAAATAGGAGTTAGCCTTTTAGAAAAGATGGGTACAGATAAGGACCTTGACCTGTAGGTTCAGAATCAAGAGGAGTTTGAGACTGGTTTTGTGATGCAGTGGGCTAAACTGCACCTGGAAAGGCAGTGGGACACAGTTAAGGACTTAGATTCCCTGTGGGAAACCAGCTCCTGGCTTTGACCTGGCAGAGGATCTGGCTATTACAGCCATTCAGAGAATTACTCTGCAGATAAAAGATCTCTGCCTCTGCGTGTGTGTGTGTGTGTGTGTGTGTGTGTGTGTGTGTGTTTATACACGCATATTTCTCTGCCTTTCAAATAAACAAAATAAATATTTTCCTTCCTAAAAAAAAACAAAAGCTTTTTCCAAAAGGCTTTGAATTGGGACCAACATGGTGACACAATTAGTTAATCCTCTGCTTATGGCTCTGGCATCCCATATGGCTGCTGGTTCATGTCCCAGCTGTTCCACTTCCTATCCAACTTTCTGTTTATGACCTAGGAAAGCAGCGGAAGATGGCTCAAGTCCTTGAGCTCCTGCACCTATGTGGGAGACCTGGAAAGAAGCTCCAGGCTCCTGGCTTCGGATCAGCTCAGCTCTGGCCACTGCAGCCATTTAAGGAGTGAACCAATGCATGAGAGACCTCTCTCTCTCTGTCTTTCCTTCTTTCTGTAAAACTGTCTTTTAAATAAATAAAATTAGATAAAATTTTTAAAGAAGGTTTTATTCTTCTCCTAAGGGTGGGAAAATTTTTCTGTCATTTGGATATTTATAATATCATTCACAACCAACACAAAATTATGAACTTAAAAATTAGTCTACTATAGACTTAGTGAATTCTGAGTTCCACAACAGTTTCCTTGACGGAGCCAGACCAAATGATTTTCTATGAGGCCCACCCCTGCGGGAGACACAGCAACCTCGAGCCCCTTCAAAATTCACTTTTGCCAATGGGCAAATATCTTTTTTTTTTTTTCCTTTTTTTTTAGAGGCTTCAACATAAACAGAATCAGAAGACTAGGTCAGGGAAATGTGACTTGGAAAACCTATCTGGGTTGACATTGGAGACAAGGGTGGGAAAGTAGGGGGCAACATCCCAGCTTCCCCGGGGAGGTCAGTGTCTGGCCACTGAACAGAGGTTTTAAGCCTCTGGTTCTCAGACCCCTCCACTCCTACTGTGCATTAGGCAGGGGAAACTCACTGACCAGCTTGTTCCGGACATCCATGTCACAGAGAGCCTCAGCCAGGATGGAGCAGGCCTCCTTGACTCCCCAGTGTGCAGCCGCGTGCAGGGGAGTCCAGCCGTCATGATCCTGAACGTTGAGTTCACAGCCAGCCTGAATCAGGAGCCTAGGCAGAAAACCCCAAATAGGACATTTATTTCCTTTGTAGTGTAGTTTTCTGCCAAATAAACAATCACCACTTGGTATTTCACTTTTGGCCTTGAACCACAGGGTTTGTGTGATTATTCCCACCCCAGAAAGCGCAGCTCAAGTTTCCTGGTCACTGCTTTGAGCACCAATCAGAGATGATCTTTACCAACCCTGTGCCACAGCTTAGAAATTTCTTACGCATATCCATGTTACCCATATAAGGAGAGTGCATGGAAAGGTGTGTGCCCAAGATCAACTAGTCAAATTTGATTAGCCAAATCACAACTCCATTACAATGCAGGGAGGAAATAACTATAAAACGGGGATTCGATTCTCTTCAGAGCACCTTAGCATTTTTCTGTTTGGTTAATCTTTCCAGGACATCCCTTTTTGTGTGGACTTTCAAACATTCTCCAACTCTGCAGAACTATTTACAGAGAGTTCTTATTAAGACTATAACCTAACGTGTAGGCTGGAAAAGGAAAGACTTGATTCTTGAAGCCCCACTGTACTCGGTTGCTTGGGGTTACCTTTATTAAGGGCCTGCAGACACTTTCTAGGAATTGAACTCAGCAGAAGATCATTATGCTGCCACACTCACGAGAAACCCCAAGCCTATAAGTGGCCTATAAGGCACTGCAAGAGTTCAATGCCATCCATTTGGGAAAGCTTATTACCATTAGGCACCAAATACTGCAAAAATCATGCATACATGGCAGGAGAAATGGAATCATGCAGTTGAGTCAAAATCCTTCAAATAAGTTTGACTACCGAACTTTAGCTGGACACTTCAGATCTATACAATTAATCTAATCTGAGAGCCCAAAGAAACCAGTGCAGTCAAAGAACAACACAGTGAGGCCAAGTCTGTCCTGTATCTCAGGTCATAAGAGGAGGTAGCTGCAGAGACACAAAGGACAATGCACAGTGCCGGAACAGGAGCAGAGAAGTCACCTCTTAGGCCTGGGGATTCTGATTCAGTAAAAGCCAAAGGAATGCCAGTAAGGCAGCAGAACATCCATGAAAAAATGTCAGGAAAATGTGAGCAAAGACTGAGTAATTAGAGAAGAAACCAACAACAAAGGAAACATGCCATTGTTGAAGACCTAATTCACCACTTGCTCCCAAAACTCATTTCATCTTGCTGTCAACCAAATCCCTGACCAACGTACAAGGACAATACCTGAGTACTTCAGCATAGCCCTTGGCAGCAGCCACGTGGAGTGCAGTGGCCCCAGAGCGTGCCTGCCTCACGTCTTCTACTTTCCCACTATTGAGCCACTGGCGTGCATCCTGCAACATCTGCTGCTCCTCTTCTTTTCTTGACTGCTCCAGGTCGACTCCTACATGAGGTACATACCAGACAGCCAGCATTACTAATGCTCCACAGAAACCAGACAGTACATTGTCCTTATGTTCAAAGCGCATCACGAAAACAATCACAAACAATAGCTTATTCCTTATAAAGTTGGGTTATGCAGCAAAATTAGAAGAGCAATGGCAGCTATATACACATTGCTGGTTTTACCAGAGCAAAATGAACAGGCTAAATGTTATTGTGCTGCTGATCCATTGAGAGAACAACCTAAAACTGTTTTCAATAGAACACAAAGAAGAAAAAGACATTGTTTTCACGTTATAATATTTGTACAAAGCTACGGACATTGAAGTCATTTTGTTAAAAGGCAGATTTACAGAGAGGAAAGACAGAAAGAACACCCAACTGTTGGTTCACTCTCCAGATGGCTGAGACAATCATAGCCAGGAGCCAGGAAGTTCTTTCAGGTCTCCCATGCAGGCACAGGATACCAAAGCTTTGGCCCATCCTCCGTTGCTTTCGCAGGATGTACGCAGGAAGCTGGATGGAAAGTGGAGCAGCCACTTGGCATCCCACACAGAATGCCAGTGCTTGCAGGCTGAAGACTAGCCAATTGAGCCATTGTGCTGACGCTAACTTCAAAGTCCTTTCAGATATTACATGATCTCAACTTCCCAGTTATTCTCTATAGTAAATATAATAGATATTACTATCTCTACTTAACAGATAAGGTGTCTTGCCCAAGGCACAAAACACATTAGCTGCCGAAGAACTCTGATACCCTAGGTCACTCTGCTATCTTTTTCAGTTTACTCTGAAGTATGATTGGCATCAAAAATTTTGTGAACTACCTTTAAACCTCATTTCCACATGCAGGTAAAAAGACATTCTATAGACTGCCACTGTGGTATAGGACATAAAGGCTCTTCCTGAGGCATCAGCCTTCCCTATGGGAGCTGATTCAAATCCCTGCTGTACCACTTCCCATCCAGCCCCCTGCTGATGTGCCTGGGAAAGCAGTGGGGCATGGCTCAAGTTCCTGAACCCCTGTACCAATGTGGGAGACCGGGATGAAACTCCTGGCTTTGGACCGCCTCTCCATCTGGGAGATGAACCAGTGTATGGGAAATTCTCTCAGCCACTTTGCCCATTACATAACGAAGTAAGCATATGGAACAACTCTAAGAAATCCTTCCTTTAGCCAACTCCTCTTCAACATCTGGCCAGTATAGAGGGAGTGAAGTCAGGTATTTTTTATTATCTAAAATAAGGAAAAGTCTCAAACACAAACATGTGTATTCAAATAGTTTTGCACCCACTAGCAATTTGCATCTGTTTTTGGTGTGTTCCACTGAGCTCCTAAATTTGAACTTATGAACTATTTAAGTATTATCTGTCTGGTCTGGGGAGATGTGGTGACAAGGTAACCAATTTAGAAAATACCAGAACTCTATGCACAGTTAACTGCAATGAAGACAGAAATGCGGCTTCTCAAAACTATTTTTTTAATTCCTGTTTGTTAAATAATAAATTATTTATACATTGTAAAGCAAATCTTACGGGACAAAATCAAGTGGTACTCGGAATACTAAGCATAAAACAATTCAAGAGGCCTCAAAGATCACACAGATAAGACAGTAAATTTCAGCAATTACTGACCTAGAACAACATTATTTAAGGGAGAGTTGGCATGCCTTCCGTAAATGGCAAGATATTAAATATTTTCAGCTTCGGAGGTCATCCAGTTTATCACAACTACTCACTTCCGCAGTTGTAAAACAAAAGCAGCTTTGGAAGACATGCAGACAAATGAGCATGTCTTTGACTCTGACTTTCACAAAGCATATCAGAAAGGCTACTGGACTAAAATCCTCCCAACGTAATTTAGCAGAAAGACTAAAAAAATCACAATTTCCTCATAGTTCTGTTATGGTTCTAGAAGACTTCCTAAGCCTGCTTTCCCTGCTCTCTACTTGGTGTTAAACACAAACTTTTTTTTTTCATTAAAAAGAATCCAGTGATCTCCAGTAGGAAAGTACTACTCCATTTTTAGAAATTAATTATTCTAAAACTAGATAAAAATAAGCATTTTTAGGGCCCAGTGGCGTGGCCTAGTGGCTAGGGTCTTCGCCTTGAATGCGCTGAGATCCCATGTGGTCGCTGGTTCTAATCCCGGCAGCTCCACTTCCTCTCTGTCTCTCCTCCTCTCTGTATATCTGACTTTGTAATAAAATAAATCTTAAAAAAAAAAAAAGAACAATTGAAAAAGCTAGAAAGAAAAATATTTTTTTAAAAATAAGCATTTTTAGAATATAAACAGGTAGTTCAAAAAACTCCCTGGAGACCGGCCAGTACCTAGCATCTAAAGTCCTTGCCTTGCATGCGCCAGGATCCCATAGGGCACCAGTTTGTGTTCCTGCAGCCCTACTTCCCAACCAGCTCCCTGCTTGTGACCTGGGAAAGCAGCCACAGATGGCCCAAAGGCTTGGGACCCTGCACCAATGTGGGAGATCCAGAAAAGGCTCTGGGCTCCTGGCTTAGGATCAGCTCAGCATTGGCCGTTGCAGCCACTTGGAGAGTGAATCATCAGATGGAAGATCTTCCTCCCTCTCTGTCTCTCCTCCTCTCTGTATTTATGCCTTTCCGAAAAAAAAAAAAAAATCCCACAAAAACAAACAACAACAACAAAAACCCTCCCTGAAGGGGCTGGCACCATGACATGTAGCAAGTAAACCCACTGTCTGCAACACTGGCATTCCATATGATGCTGGTTCAAATCCTGGCAACAGAATGCATTTGGGAAAGCAGTCGGAGATGCCTTGAGTGCTTGAGCCCCTGCACCCACATGAGAAACCCACAAGGAGCTCCTGGCTCAGCTCCAGCCTCTGCGGCCACTTGGGGAATGAACAGTGTACAGAAGATCTTCCTCTCTATCTCTTCTTCTCTCTGTAAATCTGCCTTTCCAATAAAATTAAATAAATAAATACAATCCTTTTTACAACCTTTATTTATTTATTTGAGAGGTAGAATTACAGAGATAAGAAGAGACAGAGAGAGATCTTCAATCCTGATTCACTCCCCAGATAGCTTCAATGGCCAGGGTTGGGCCAGGCTGAAGCAAGGAGCTTTATCCAAGTCTCCCATGTAGTTGCTGGAGCCCAAGAACTCAGGTCAACTTTCACTGTTTTCCCAGGAGCATTAGCAAGGGGCTGGATGGAAAGTGGAGCAGCCACTTTCTTGAATGGGCAGGACTTGAATGGCCACTCATAAGGAATGCCAGCATTGTAGACAGCAGCTTAACACCCTACACCATGATGTCAGTTTCCACAGTCATCTCTTTTTTTTTTTATTGCAAACTCGGATACACAGACAGGAGGAGAAACAGAGAGGAAGATCTTTAGCCCAATGATTCACTCCCAAAGTGACCACAACAGCCAGAGCTGAGATAATCAGAAGCCAGAAGCTTCCTCCAGGTCTCCCACGTGAATGCAGAATCCCAAGGCCTTGGGCCGTCCTCGACTACTTTCCCAGGCCACAAGCAGGGAGCTGGAAGGGAAGCGGGATGGCCGGGATTAGAACCAACACCCATATGGGACCCTGGCACATTTAAGATAAGGACTTTAGCTGCTGGGCCAGTGCGCCGGGCCCCTGTAGTCTTCTAAATTAGCCTCCTCTCCTAACATACTACCAGAATAATTTTCATGGTTAGTATGGTTAAAGATCATTTCAAATGTTATACTAAGTATCTTCACCAGCATGACTGTTACCTCTCATCAAAATGTAAAGTCACTCTGCAATGTATAGTAAAACGCAATACCAAATAATGCACAGTAAGAAATGCTCATGCTCCTGATCAAATGACTCCTAACTTTGTGTCAAGCATGCAGTCTCAGAATGACAAAAACAAGGAAGGGCTGGTCATACGTTTGACATCTGGCTTGTCTTGTGAGTTAAGAGGATATACAATGTTGGTAATTGATGACTAATACCAGGTAGTCAGATCTAATCTTCTGTCACATGATAATCAAAAGCTGTTCACAGCAGAGGGATTGCTTTCTGTGAGCGGCAATGTCTAAGAGGCTCCCCCAGCCCATCCAGTCGCCAGTTACCTTGCTTCTTCACTTGCTCTAAGAGGAGATCCTTCATGGCAGGTTCTTCGGCAAGGTCAGAGGGGACTTCGCCCTCATTGTTCACAATGCCCACACTGGCTCCGTGGTTAAGGAAATATCTGTGCAGACAAGACTCGGCATCAGTACTACCTCTGTCAATGGAACAGCAATTTACAGCCACGCACCTAGGGTTCAGAACACTATAAGCCCTCTAATTGGGGGTTTTAATATATGGCCCCAGGTAGAGTATTCCATATTAATTTCTAACTCCATTAGCCTTCATGTATCAGGACTGGAGACTTCTCTACTTTCTGACAAAAACAATGCCATAAAACAGTATTTCTTTCACACTCACATTCATAAGTCCTACTCTTTTTTAAGAACACAGCAAGACATTTTCTAAATACACAGGGAAGGCACATAGCCCTTAGAACTCACCTACCATCCCGGGCATCCACACAGATTTCCCAAAAGGTCTTACTGAATTTATAATGTAAGAATGAAGGCGTCCCAGAGGCTATGTAAATAAGCAACTTTTATGAAAAATGTTTTCAATGTCACATGAGAATTTATTAAGTAGTGTTATGGGTACAAAGATAAAAGGAAAGCACACATTAGAATTTGTATACATACACTTATGTTATGCTCCCACAAAACTCTCCCTTCAACTAGTCATCCACATGAAGTCTCTTACACACTAAAAGGAACTAAATTACCAAAGAAACATCAAAATAATAAATAAACTTTATTTATTTTCAGGCAGAGAGATTGGCAGGGTTTTTAATTTGCTGGATCATTTCCCAAATGGCAGAGTGTCTGTAGGCCAGGTGAAGCTGGGAGCTGGGATGGCAGTCCAACCCTTCCAGGTAAGAGGCTGGAACCCATCTCCTTAGCCATCACCTGGTGCCTCCTCCAGTTTACATCAGCAGGAAGCTGGACTCCAATTCAAACACTCTTCTACGGGGTAAGGGTCAAACATTCACCTCTACATAGATTCTAAGCCCAAACAGAATACTTGATCCTAAAGAAAAAAACCTTCTCTAGTGAATTTTAAAAAAACAAGGTTTGATAATCTGGACTTTATGTGGTCCTTTTTTAAAAAAAGATTTATTTACTTTTATTGAAAAGTCAGATATACAGAGAGGAAGAGGGGCACAGAAGATCATCTGTCCAATGATTCACTCCCCAAGCAGCTACAATGTCCAGAACTGTGACAAATCAAAGTCAGGAGCCCGGAGCCTCTCCCAGGTCTGTCATGCGGGTGTAGGGTCCCAAGACTCTGGGCTGTCTTCAACTGCTTTCCCGGGCCACAGCAGGGAGCTGGATGGGAAGTAGGGCTGCAGGGACACGAACTGGCACCCATATGAGATCCCGGCGCATGCAAGGTGAGGACTTTAGCTGCTAGCTACCGCACCGGGCCCGTATGGTTCTTTTTTTATATTTAAAATGCTTTCACAAAAAATTGTATAATAAGTCTTAGGTAACAGTTTGAAATAGGTTATATGGGTACTATTGTCTACTTTAAAAAACTGAAGCTCATATAGTAAGTAATTTTTTCAAAAAATCAAGGAACTGGAAAGTGGGAGAGTAGACCCAGTTTTTCTTTTTCTTTCTTTCTTTTTTTTTTTTAATTTAATGTATTTATCTGAAAGTCAGATAGAGGAAGAGACACAGAGAAAGAGAAATCTTTCATGCACTGGCTACACTCGGGGCTGGGCCAGGACAATGACAGGAGCTAGGAGCTTCTTCCAGGTCTCCCACGTTGGTGGCAGGAGCCCAAACACATGAGCCATTTTCTGCTTTTTCCAGGCCATTAGCAGGAAACTGGATCAGAAGTGGAGCAGCTGGGATAGGAATCAACACCCATATGAGATGCCCGTGCTACAGGCGGCAGTTTTACCTGCTACACTAAAACACTGGTCCCTGATTCAGCCTTCGGACTTTGTGTCTAGTTCATTTTCTCCATGTCAAGATACAATACTGGGGACTTTACCAAATGATCATAAGCAGTTAAAGGGGAAAAGAAAATGAGCTGAATTAGGCTTCTATATATTCAACAATTCAATAAACATTTATTGGTTTAAGTTCAAGGATCCACTCTCTAGACAATGCACATTTTTCAAAAGAGTTAGTCAATAATGGCCACACTTGCATTCCAAGAGTTGGCAGAGGAAAAACAATCAACAATGATTAGATTAAGACTGTTATGCTTTCTTGGCACCTAGCAACTGCTATAACAGAACCTCAATAAAAATTTACAGATCAATTCCAAAAAGAAAAAACTCAAAGGCATGCACAATTAACTATGCCCTTTCTTCTCTCACAGTCTCAGAGAATGACACATCTTTTCCAATTCCTAGATTAACTCCATCTCTAGTCTGAATTCTATGAAGTACCAGTGTATAGGCACTTTCAAAAATTTGTGGAAAAACAGAGCTGTAAGTAAATTCAACTTTGAAAGCCAAGTATGGGTTTTTTTTTCTTTTGACATCATGCATCTTTTTTGAGCCTCTCAGATTTTGTCCTCCAATTACTCCTTCCCGTCTATATGTTCAGTAGCTTTTCTAATTCTTCTCCCTTGGGTCAAAGAAACATTGAACCACATGTCCTTCACCTTGTAAAGTCAGAATGCAACACACATAATAAGCACTCAATAAATGTGGTTGAGTTCAACTGTATCCTATATTCTAATCAAACTGAACCACTTATTATTTCCAAGCACAGCCCTCTCTTCTCTTTGCTCTTGTGGGCACCTTTCACATCTCTCACGGCCCATGTAAAATGCCTGTCCTTCATGAGGCCTTGGCTTGTTCTCATTAACTAGATTCTCTTTCTCCCTTCTTTAAACCCTGACCACCTTCCTTGCTCCGCAGCACTAGCTCTGGACTTCTGTCATGAGGTACACTGTACCTTGCTGTAACTACTTCAACACTGAAAGCAATTGAGGGTAACAATTGTGTCTTCCTCCCCATTACCCCAGTGCTCTGACATTTTCTCCTGGCACTCCATAACCATTGTTTAAATGAAATGATACATCTTGTCCACTCTGTTCTAACATCTGTTCAATCCCCCACTGGATAAGGCACAATATCATGGGGGTACCCAGGTCCCTGCTTTGTCCTTTTCTGGCACACTTATAAATTTTAAGCCCATGAACAAGAACATTTGTTTCCTGAAAATAATCTGGCTGTCTTTATTTCTATTTTCTCCAGTTTTAGGAGGAAAACAGCAAAAATCTCAAGGCTTACAATTGCACTGAATCAAGAATAAAAATCAACCTACTCAGTAATATCTATTTTGGCCATGTAAATCCTTATACTTACCCAAAGGCTCAGAAATAGCCATTCATTCATCATGTGTTTAAAGTCTGCAGGGAGGTGTTGTGACACAATGAGCTAAGCCTCTATCTGTGATGCCAGAATCCTGCATAGGTGTACCAGTTCATGTTTTAGCTGCTTCACTTCTGATCCAGTTCCCTGTTAATGGTCTGAGGAAACCAGTGGATGATGGTCCAAGTGTGTGAGCCCTTGCCACCCATGCATGAGACCCGAAAGAAGTTCCTGGCTCCTAGTTTTAGATTGGCATTGCAGCTATCTGAGGAGTGAACCAGAGGAAGGAAGATCTCTCTGTAACTAAATAGTTTAAAAAATTGATAATACATTTTCCTTATACATTTTACTTATATATACTATGTATATATTTATATACACTTACATATGTAAGTATATATATTATACTTAGTCAATGTACTTAATATATTCTGATATATATTGGAATTTCAATAAGCTATAACGCCAAATTAAATACTACTCTTAGGTCAATCTATAGCTTCTGAGTAATACTCTTACTTGTAATTAAAATGTAAAACATCCATGTAATATCTTTTGCTAAGCCTGAACTCAGCTTTTGAAAAAGAAGGATAATGCCAACACAGTGATCCAAAGTCTAACCATGCATTATTCCTTAGATAAGTATTTAAAAAGATTTTTTTAAAGGTGGGGAACCCTTGAGAAAAAAGGAAATCCATGAATTCAATGAGCTTGGAGAGCTCAATTAACATAAACATACTATCTGAATAAATAACTATACAGGAGAAAAGGGAAGAAAAGGAAAATGGGAAGCACTTGCCTCACCCACCTTCCCCAATACCTTGACCCTCCTCGCCTTATTCACTGATCCTCATGGGCCTGCATTCTTATCAACTATGTAAACAACATTAAAAAAAAATAAAATTTTAAAAATATATATAACTGAAAAAAAAAAGCCAGTGAGGATCAGAACATTGTACAAATGAGTCTCAGATATATGTACTCAGGAAAATCCATCCACAGGGAGTCACCCGGACTCTCAGATATCAGATTGCTGATGTCAGTGAGTAAGGCCAGCACCCTGAGAAGAGGGCAGCTTAGGGTGTCAGAAGGTGACCGACTTCAACCAAAGAACACAGAGTGAAAATGCACAAGAAAATTGCATTGGTCATTCCTGTTAGCTTTGGGGTCCATCCTCTTTCGGAGAAGCAACCCACTGCTCCCTTGGGCTCCCCTGGCTCTGAATTGCCCTTGGCTGAACTCCCACTGAGGATGCCTGGCTCGGCAGCAGACCCAGTGACACAGGTTCCCCCAGGAAATCTGGGCAAACCAGACTCCGGGGTAAGTCATTCTCAGGTCCCTACAGGACTGCCAAGTGAATAGGACAAATGTAATGGAGCTCTAATCATGTTATGGACAATGGCCTTAAAATATGCAATCTTATTTTCAAGGGACCATAGGATATCATGAATCTATTACAGAATCCATCAATTTACATTTTTCCTCATTTAGAATATACTCAGCAGTTTCTTTTCAAAGATGTTCAACCACCAAAGTCTCTGTCCCATTTAAAAACAAGCTGCCTGGTTGAATGGAACATGTTTATTTAGAGCCCCTATATTCCAGGCACTATGTAGTTTTGCTGCCCAGAGGAGAGGCACTAGTTGTCATGGAGGTTAGTCCCCTGATACATTTCAGTAAACAGACTCATTCTGCCAATGTGGAGAACACCTGCCAATATCTACCTTGCCCTTTGTCCACATGTTTTAGGTCCATTCTTCTACTACTACTTATGCATTATGATTAACATGAGGCATTTCACACCTTCATCTGTACTAAGCAGAAATTTTTTAAAACACAGATTTTACAAAGAAGGGGCTGGTGTTAAGTTGCCATTTGCAACAGCAGTGTCCCATATTGAGACCCATGGATGAGTCCTGGCAGCTGTGCTCCTGTCTCAGCTCCATGTTTATGCACCTAGGAAAGTAGCAAAAGATGGTCCAGGTGCTGCATGCCAAAGAGAGAGCCAGGCTCATGACTTTGGTCTAGCCCAGCTCTGGCAGTTGTGATCACTTGGGAAGTGAACCAGCAAATCAAAGATTTTTCTCTTTTTTCCTCTGTCATACTTTCAAATAAATAAATAAAACTTTAAAATAAATAACACTAAAAATATTTATTAAAAAAAGACATCTGCCTACAATGTACCCTTCTACACCTGTTCAGAAACCCAACTCAGACAGTGCACCAGACAGAAGCCACCCTTGCACATCTCAGAAAGTATTAATGATGCCAAAATGTAAGCAATCTAAAAAACTGATCTTAGAGCTATATGAAACATATTTGCCATTATTTCTTAAAAATAATTCATCCCTTGGTTTCATATTTTGTAATAGAAAGAGATGATAACTATTTTTGAAAGTCCAAGTCCCAAGACAGGAGAAGGCCATTGCTCCCACCCCCACCCTACCCTGTAAGACTCACTCACTCTGCTATGTTGAGATAGCCACAGGAAGCTGCCGCGTGAAGTGGTGTCCAACCCTCGTTGTCCTGCTGGTTGACATTGGCTCTGTTCTCCACCAGAAATTTTACCATGTCCAAATTCTCATCAATACAGGCCTGAAAAGAAAAAGCTGCTCATTCACTCAGCACTTACTAATTTCTGCTATGCTCTGCTCCAGAGCATATGCAAATGCCCCAGGTGTGATTCCTAAGCCTAGAAGTACAATAGAACTATCCTTTATATAAGTGCTACTAGTACCATTAGAACTGTGGAAATGATTTCTGAAGTGCTATAAATGAGTGAGCTGTTTCAACAGTATATTCAGCAATTTTTAAAAGGCACATGGAAAATCACTGATTTGCTTATATTTTTTTTTTAATTTGAAGATGTAGTTCTTTATTTGAAAGTCAGAAAGAGAGAGCGAGAGAAATCTTCCATCCACTGGCTCACTTCCCAGATGGCCACAACAGCCAGGGCTGAGCCAGGCAAAAGCCAGGAGCCAGGAGTTTTCATCTGGGTCTTTCATGTGCGTGGCTTGGGCACAAGCACTTGAGTCATCTTCTGTTGCTTTTTTGGGTACATCAGCAGGGAACTGGATCAGAAGTGCAATACACAGGACACAAACCAGCATTAATATGGGATGCCAGAGTTGTAGACAGCAAGCAGTAGCTTTATCCGCTACATCACAATCCCGTCCCTTGCTATGAACTTTAACAGAAAACAATCTGTGGACTGGCTTTGTGGCCATTGTCTGCGATGTAAGCATCCCATGTGGGCATCAATTCAAATCACAGCTACTCAAAAAAAAAAAGTCACAGCTATTCTACTGACCCAGCACCCTGTTAAGGCACATGTGAATCTAGGAAAAGACAGTCAGCCCAAGAACTTGGGTTCCAGCATTCACATGTGAGACCCAGAGGATGCTGCTGGCCCTGACCTGGCCCAATCCTTCTTTTTGTAGCCATTTGGGGAGTGAACCAGAGGATGGAAGATCTCTCTCTTTTGAACTCTGCTTAAGAAAGGAAGGAAGGAAGGAAGGAAGGAAGGAAGGAAGGAAGGAAGAAAGAAAGGAAGGAAGAAAGAAAGAAAGAATGAAAGAAAGAAAGAAAGAAAGAAAGAAAGAAAGAAAGAAAGAAAGAAAGAAAGAAAGAAAGAAAGAAAGAAAGAAAGAAAGAAAGAGAAAGAGAAATAGAAAACAATGTCAGGATTAAATGCAATTTTGCCATTTAACAGGTATAGTTTAAAACTTGTATAACTGTTAAGCACCCCTTGTTTTGGTGAAAAAGGATAGGGGAACATTCCAAAGGGAGGAAATCTATCTTCGGAATGGCTTTAAACATTGTAAAGTGTGCTTGTAGTCAGGGATGGTTAGTGATCCTTCGCTGCCTGTCTCATTCAGCAGGGAGAAGCAGAGAAGCTTTGAGTGAGGGCCTTAGGTCTACCATAACCTAAACAATACAGTCATGAACAGCAAAGGGATCTCCAAAAACCAAGGCTATCCTGACACAGCAACAGAATACAAAAGATAAAGAGGGCCAAGTTATCAACGTTAATCGCTATTAAGGCTTCTAAAACATTATCATTATCATAGTTGTGAAACAAGGAATACCAATCTTTTAAAAACCTGCCTATCAGAGCAGGTTGTAGTAACACAGCAGCTAAAGCCTGCAAAGCCTACAAGCCTACAATGCAGCATCCCATATAGCAATAGAGTCCCTATTGCCCAACTTCCTATCCAGCACCTTCCTAATGGCCTAAAAGAAAAGAAAAGAAAAGAAAAGAAAGAAAGAAAGAAAGAAAGAAAGAAAGAAAGAAAGAAAGAAAGAAAGAAAGAAAGAAAGAAAGAAAAAGAAACAGAAAAAGCAGTAGAAAGGTGGTCTAAGTATTCGGGGCCCCTTCCTCCCACAGGAGAACCAGATGAAGCTCCTGCCTCCTGGCTTCAGCCTGTTCCAGTGCTGGCCATTGTGATCTGGGGAATAATTTAGCAGTAGATGGAAGATTTCTCTTTTTCTGCCTCTCCCTCTTTCTAACTCTGACTTTTAATTAAATGAATTATTTTTTAATTTATTTTTTGTTCTATTTTTATTTTGAATTTCTGAATTTTGTGGAACAAATTTGTATAGACTGAGATCCCACCCCCTGATAGATTTTCCCATGTTGCTACAATAGTATAGTCTAAATGAATGATTTTTAAACAAACAAAATCTGTTGGTTAATCTCTTCTTTGAAAAAACTAAAAATAATAATAATAATAAAATAACAATAATAAATTTAAACTGTAGCTAAGGGGCTGGCACTTTAGCAAAAAGAATTAAGCCACTGCTTGAAATCCTGGTGTCCCATATTTGTGTTAGTTAAAATCCAAGCTGTTCCCCTTGCAATCCAGCTTCTTGCTAACATGTCCAGGATAACCGCAGAAGATGGCCAACTACTCAGGTTCCTGCCACCCATATAGAGACCAGGTTGGAGTTCTGGCTCTTGGCTTCAGCCTTCATTTGGGTAATACACTAGTCGGTACAAGATTTCTCTCTTTGTCTCTTCCTCTCTATAGTTCTGCTTTTCAAATAAATAAATAGATAGATACATCTTTTATTTAAAAAATACTAGTAGCCCCATATTTTTTATCATATACTGTTTTTGAAAGCCAAGTTTCAAGTAAGAATAGCCTTGATGGGCCCAGAACATGAGTCTAGTGGCTAAAGTCCTCACCTTGCATGCTCCAGGATCCCATATGGGCACTGGTTTGTGTCCCAGCTGCTCCATTTTCCATCCAGCTCCCTGCTTATGGCCTGGGAAAGCCATTGAGGATGGCCCAAAGCCTTGGGACCCTGCACCTGTATGGGAGACCCAGAAGACGCTTCTGGGATCAGCTTAGCTCTGGCCATTGTGGCAACTTGGGAAGTAAACCAGTGGATGGAAGATTCTTCTCTGTGTCTCTCTTTCTATCTATAAATTTGCCTTTACGCTAAAAAAAAAAAATCAAATTTAAAAAGAACAACCTTCATGAAACAGTAAAAATAATTATATTAATTCTTGAATGTAAATCTTAATATTCCACATGATCAAATACACGTGTAACAGTTGTTTCGAAGAGAGAACTTGTGTATCTTTCTGAGCTGCAAGATAAACTGCCTCATAAAACATTACTTTTACTTAAAAGATAACTAACAAATTATGGCATTCTGACTTAAAAATGAACAAAGCAAGCCTAACAATTCAGAGAAAATGAGTAGCACTTGTTGCCAAAGATGCAGTTTGATCATTCAAGTGAAAATTGGAAGCCCCCACTGCCTTCGCAGGTGCAGCTGCTGGGTGCTGGAAGCAGGGCAGCTGGGACTCAAACTGGTGCTCTGATTCAGGATGCCAGTGTCACAAGGGCTGGCACAGTCAAATGTAAGTCCTTTCCTTCCTTTTCTTAATCACCTTAGGACTTTAGTTCTGCTTTTAAAATTTGTAAAAGTGTTCTCTATAAATCCATAAATGTGTCTATAAATCTAAAACGTTTATGATATCATTGTCTACAAATCCCAACTATTAGGATTCCAGTATTTGGAATGGAAATGGCATTGTAAGCAAGTTTGAAAGAATAACAGAACAAACTTGGTTAATATGAAACATAATTTGATAGCTCACCAATCTCCTAAGGAACACCTCAGAGAAGTAGTCAGCCAGCTGGTTAAATGCTTGTTCAGTTCCCTCTCCCTGGGCTTATCATCACAAACACCAATACAAAAATTTCCCCCTGTAACATTCAGAGTCCTGTAAGCACCTAAATTCAGGAGTCACGTGAGTAAAATACTATGGACTGTGGTTTAGCTGGGGAACTGTTGAGGTGGGAGGTGATACCAATCATAGGGTTGCAGGATAGTCATGAATACCTTGGAGTAACTGCCTCTCCTTCCTCTTTCTCCCATTGTTGTCCCCTCCTCCTCAAAACAAACAAACAAACAAACAAACCCAAGAGGACTGAGAAAAGAATGGTCCCTGGAAACCTTCTCAAGTGAATAATAACTAAATTTAGATGTCCTTTTTCCACTCCATCTGCAGCTGTGCTGCTGACTCATCCCCGATGGAAGCTCACAGACGGGCAGACTGGTCCATCTACAAAATACAGCCCAAGCCCACGGAGCCCACACCACGGGCTGCACCAAATGCTCCAGACAAATCGGCTGTTCTTTTTCTTGGGAAGGAAGCTAACCAAGCTTTATTGTTGCCCATGACAACAATGGGGGCATTCTTTTTTCCCTTTAACCCAAATTTCTTCTGCTGTGACCTAAATCTAGTGCCTCCTATTTTTGTATCCCTGAAAAGATACAGAATATTACTAAGCCTCCTTTTAAAAAAATGGAGCTATAATACAGTTATTCGCTCAAAAAACCATTCAGAAAAAAAAAACTGTCATGTAATACATAAAACTTCCTAAAAACAAGAGTGTCACATTTCTCTGAAAATGACAAGCTATTTCCAAGGAAAAAACAGCTAATTTCCCCAATAAAATCTATGTCAACAAGCACTGTGACATCTCTACTCTACCTGGCATTTCTCTCTCTTTATCAAAGGCAAAAGTGACTGAGGGCTGATCAATCCCAGAGTTAAATCAAGGAGTGCAGAGAAGACCGCACAAACAAAGCTTCCTTGGTTCCCAAAATAGCCTGCAACTGTCACTGCCACCAAGTGCTGACTTGAAGCTCTGACCTTGCCGTTGTATCTCATAATAGTGCTAACAGTACCTGCCTCCGTCTCAGAATAATTCCCTTCCCACAGAACCTAGCTTCAGGTGCCTGGGCAGATGTCACACCAGAAGCGGGGTTAGTGCAGCCTCACAGAGACTTGTTTGGATTTTTGAGCCTATGCTTGCCTTGATTTCAACAAATCACGCAGAACACATTACTAACAGCCACAGGCAACCCACAGAATGTAAGAAATTATTTGCAAATGATGACTGTAATATAAATTAATATCCAGAATACATAGGGAACTTCCAAAACTCAACATTTTAAAAATCAGCTTGGGGGCCCGGCACGGTGGCGCAAGTGGTTAAGGTCCTCGCCTTGCACGCCCGGGATCCCATATGGGTGCCGGTTCTAATCCCAGCAGCCCCGCTTCCCTTCCAGCT